GGCTGAGATCCCAGCTGAAAATCTGTTTTTTCATGTCCATTCACTGCTGCAGTTCCTGGTTCTAGTAGGCATAAAAGTGGAGACGCCTAGATGTTCCATGAAATCCTGTTCTTACTACAGCAGTGTAATTCCAACTGGATTAGAAGAAGAAGGACCAGAAGTCTCTCATGAGATCACTGACCTAAGCCATGATCCTGCAAGTCAGTGTGTTAGTACAGACTCCCATTCCCACATGAAGTCCCACTGATTTCAGTAGGACTGTTGTGTGGACACTGATCTTCATTAGCAATTCCACATGCAGGTTCAGAATTTCTTTTGACAGACAAAACACCATGCATAAAAACGGGCCGGCTCTAGGTTTTTTGCTGCCCCAAGCAAAAAATTTTGTGGCCGCCCCCCCCGCCCCCTCTTTTTTTGTTGGCAGCGACCCAGACCCAGACCCGGAGCAGGGGCGGCTCCGGCCGGGGCTTAGGCCCCCTGGCGCGGAGGAAGGAGACATTTTGCTCTGCGCACTTGGCCCGGGCCACAGGATCTGGCCCGACACAGCCTGGCATGGGGATAAGAGCTTGGCCTGAGACCAGGACTGGCCCCGAATGACCCAGAGCACCAGGCTGGAGCCTGGATGCCTGGGTTCTGTCCCCAGCCCTGACGCCAGCTGGCCTGGGGCAAGTCCCTTCCCTGCTGCCTCAGTTTCAGCTTTGGGAGCTGAGGAGACTCTGCTGCCCTGCATGGCCAAGCACGGTGACCAGGTAGGGAGGAGCAGAGAGGCTGGGGCTCGCTGCCCACCCCCTCCTGATGGATGACTGTGCACCATGACTCCCCCCCCCGCAGGGTCCTGTGCCCCTCCCCTTTTTATTTCCCCCGCAGGGCTCCGCTGGGTCTGTGACGTGGTGCCGGTTGGCCAATCAGCACACACAGATCCTGGCCCCGCAGGAAAGAGACTTGGGCAGCGCCACCCGTAGAGGAGCAGGGATATGGGACACCTGCCTGGGCGTGTGGAAGGGGCTGCTGCTGGCAGGTGACTGTGGATGGGGGGCAGAATAGGGACAGCACAGTACACACAAGAATGGCCAGAATGCCGCCCCTGGAAATGTGCCACCCCAAGCACGTGCTTGCTTTGTTGTTGCCTAGAGCCAGCCCTGGATAAAAATCTCAAATGGCTGTCTATTCTGAGTTTAACCGCTAAATCTATTGAGGATTAATCATCTCCAATGGAGCTGACCAATGTTTCTCCCAGTTTGGGAATTTATTTATGTAAATGTAAATATTTGGGATTTATTTGTGAAACATTTTAAGAGAAGGGATATTTGAACCCAGTGGTAGAAAGGTATCACGTCTGCTAATTATTTCACCACTTTGAAAGGGGCAGCCAGAATAAATGATGAAACAGAGTCTCAACCCATTGATACCAGTATAAACCAGGAAAAAACTCAGTTGCAGACAATGGAGTAAGGTAACATAAGAGATCTCAGAAACAGGTCATCTGTAAATGTAACCAAACATGAAAAATACACTTAATCGAAATTTCCAAAACTGAATCTACTGATCACCATTTAAGCTTTCTCCTTTTTAAATGATTATTATTTGCATTTCATCCAGCTTGGATAATGAAAACAGACCAGGAAGTTTCACTTTTTACCCAGGTGGCAGCTGTTGTGTGGTTTTGCTCTTTACACAGCAAATATAGCATGAAGGAACCACACAGGCAAGTAGGGTCCAAAATAACTGTCTTTAATAACTACACAGATCATAAGAACATAAGAATGGCCGTATTGGGTCAGACCAAAGGTCCATCTAGCCTAGTAGCCTGTCTGCCAACAGTGGCCAGTGCCAGGTGCCCCAGAGAGGTTGGACTGAAGACAATGATAATGCAATTTGTCTCGTGCCGTCCATCTCCAACCTCTGACAGAGGCCAGGGACACCATTTCTATGCCCTGGCTAATAGCCTTTTATGGACCTAACCTCCATGAAATTATCTAGCTTCTCTTTAAACTCTGTTATAGTCCTAGCCTTCACAGCCTCCTCTGGCAAGGAGTTCCACAGGTTGACTACACGCTGTGAACTTTCTTTTATTAGTTTTAAACCTGCTCCCCATTAATTTCACCTCTAGTTCTTCTATTATAGGAACTAATAAATAACTTTTCTTTATTCACCCTCCCCACACCATTCATGATTTTATATCATGCAATGCCTACCTAAATATATATCTTACAGCTAGTCTACAGAAACTAAGCCACTCCGCACTGGACAGGGAAAGATGGAAGGAAATAGTGAGAGAGGCATCGGACACCAACGGGTGTTGAGCCCACGGTTTTTGTTGTTTATGATGATATGGCTTCAGAAAAATAGAACACAATGGGTACTCTTAAGGGGGCCACAAAATATTGAAATAGACACTGACCAATTACTTTATGCTACCTCAGCATTTTCCAGCTGTCATACGATGGCACAAGGTTTGGATGTTTGTGTTGAAAATGCAGGAGAGTGTTTAAATAACATAGATTATATATTATGCAAATTATACACTTGGATTTATCTTAAAATGGAACAACATTTATATTAAAGAGGATTTTGTTTCTATTTTTAACAATAGCAACATTTTGGGACTAAACAACCTAGACAATGCCTCTTTAAATGGTAACTGAGAAGTCTTGGTTATACCGAGGTCAGGATGTTATGACAATGACAGTACTGGTCTGCATGTGTAGGCTATTGGTTAGAAAAGGCCGAAAACAGCTCATGCTGCAAATAGCTACAGATGAGACAACTACACAGAACACTGACTTGACTTTCCTCCTTGTCAGTCTGACCTCTATGCAATTCAAATACTTATTATGCATAAAACTAACTTGTCACTCCAACGGCCATTCCACTCCACTTGCCCCCATGGATTTCTTGGCCTTATGAGTTGCACCTTTCGGCCTTGGTAGGTCACCTAGAAATAGGAAGACAAAAATAGAGAAAATCCTGAATGGTCTTAAAATATGAGACTGTTGCTAGGGTAATAATCCCTGTCTGGCTGCTGTCATTAACTAAAAAGCAATTCGCCTCCAGACTGCATAACCTGCATAACCCTGCTGGTCCCCAGGGACCTCAGCAGGAGGAAGTGTACAAGGGGGTAGAAGGGATGGTGAAGAGGAGCAGAAAGAGAAATCTCTGACCAGGGTTGCATTAGAGCTTCACTTGACAGAGGAAGAAATATAGAGCTGGGTGAATAGGGAAGTTTTGGGTTTACTGGAAATTTTTTAAAAAAAGTTTCAGGCCAAACTGAAAATTAAATGATCTATTTCCAACAAATTCCAACAAGTTGAAAAAAAATCATAACGAACCATTTTGTTTGACCCAAAATGAAACATGCCGTTGCAATGTCACACATTCTAACATGTTTTTAATGTCTAAAAAAAAGGAAAGGAAATTTCAAAAGACAAAGTGGTTTTGAATAAATAAAATGTGCTTAGTTTTTTCAGAATATTTTCCCCAACCAAATTAGTTTGGTGAAATCAGCACAAATTCATTAAATATTTTAGCATCACAGAATTCACTAAAAAAAATGTTTTAGTTGAAATCTTTCATCTGTAGGGAAGAATCAGAGGTTACATACAGTCCCCTGACTCCCCCCCCACCTAAGTTGCTTTAGGCACAAGAAGCTGGGCACAACTTTTAAGATGAAGGGATAAGGGGCATACCCTGTATGGCCTGTCAAAATGCTGCCCCTTTACTCATAGAGTGGTGCCACCCCAATTCCCCAACAAAACTGCATCCGGGCAGCATGAAGAACAGGATTTATGAGCTCCGTCTCCTGCTCTAGGTCTCCATCATTTCAAAGTTTGTAGCGTACCCCTTGTCAGCCTCTCCACCACACACTGTCAACATAGCGACCATTGGGACATACCTCATCAATGCCAGTTACGGAATAAGCATGACCCTTTATGAGGCCAAAGGGGGTTCGAGCTTCTGACTCAGCAGCGCTGGTGGTCTGAAATATGAAAACACATGTTAAAGTACCCTGCCTTGAGAGGACATTGTATGTGGAAACGCTTTGTCAGTATTCGGGCCACAAAACCAAACTAAAAAGAGCCTCCCTCTAGTCCTTTACTTACATCAATTGAACAGCCCACCATTGACCCTCTTTTAAGAGCTTTTCCTAAGATTTCATAGAAGTTGTCTGGAGCCTGTTTGACGTCATACATTTCTCCAACTCCTCCAGTGAAATCTTCCATGGCTTCGAGAGTACTGCCTCCTTTTAGGGCTTCGTAACTTCCATTCAGTCTGAATCATGTAACATCAAGAGAGAGAAACATTTTTTAAAACTTTCTTACTCTGAGTCTCTCTCATTGACGATGGTGCAAACCAGAGGTGAAAGTAATTTTAAAAATTTACCAGTGTGGGGGCCTGATTCTAGGCCCCTGGAAGGGGCAGTTCTTGGGCAGACGGGGCTGGACCTCAAGCAGAAGGGTCAGAAATGGGAGACAGCCTCTCCCAGCCAGACCTTCAGTGCTGTATGGTGTGTGCCGCTGGGGGCTCCGGCGACAGTTTAAAGGGCACGAGGCTCTGGCCGCTGCTGTGGTAGCGGTGGTGGCTGGGAGCCCACATGACCCTTTTAAATCACTGGGCCCCAGGGCAGCTGCCCCTTTTGTCTCTCGTCGCCCCACCTGATGGTAGCCCTGTAACTGCACTAGCACCGCCACAGCCTCATCCCAGTCTCTGATTCGTTCTTGGTTCAAATCCAGCCAGGGCTGGCAGTGACAATACTGTCAATTGCCCAGTGGCCTGCAGCAAGCCAAACCCAGAAATAGCCTCATTCCAGTTTTTAGCCAGAATTCTTGGCATCATTATTAGTCCTCTCAGCAGAAAAACAGAGATCAGGCGTTAGGACTGAAGCCAACTGGAGTCACACCACTGACTTTCCTGGAAATGGGATCAATTCATCAGGGATCAATTTAGGACATGGTATCTCTAGGTCAAGCCTGAGGGAAATGCATTGAATGAATAAAGTCTGACCGTTTGCATTGTGTGACAAACTGAGCAATGCACACACACCACAGGGCAGCCAGGACTTACTTGGCATAGGCTTTTTCCAGTAAGGCACTCCAGAATTCATTGTGTTCGGCCGAGTGCAGAAAAACCAAGCGGTCTTTAAAGGTGGGTAATCGGTCATCAATAACAATATCCAGCCACTCATTGTGCTGCCAAAACTGTGTTGAATGGAAGTTGAGAGAATTGATAACTGTAATATTTCATAAGGCTAGCATGCCTCTCTGACTGCTGTATTCCTATGGTTCTAAACTACCTCAGTGACATGTGGGGCTATGACAGAATTAAAACCACAGCTTTTTTGTGAGCTAAGTGAAATCTGGCCCAAAGTAAACACCACATTTCCTCCACTAAGCTTCTTCTCGATCAAATCACTAAAGAAACAGGTGGGCTTCTATCTTCTAAACCTTACACAAAGACAGGGCTGCTGTTGAACTCCATAGACACAATTTCCTGAAATTAGGCACTTCATATATGCTGTAGTGTCATAAACTGCAGTATATTATATAAACCTTGCTGAATTCATATGTGTTGGGACAGAGTTTCTGTGAACATACACATTACAAACTGTAGGACACTGGGTGCTATTAGGCAGAATGGTAAGTAAACTAAACTAATAGCCAACAGGAATTTTGTGCCTCCTCCCACAATTTCTCTCAGTCCTTACGACAAACTCCTATAGAATACAATAGAATTTTACTGAGATTAAGTAAGGTTGTATATACATTGTTCTAAAAACCTATAACATTTAATAGACTATACCATTTTTCTATAATTTTCAACCAACCTAGAGAATTTTATAGCAGAAATTTATGTTATTCGATCCATGTTTTTATATTATGTCCACCTCTGTGTTTTCTGAGCACCTATCTATTACATTCTAGAAGTTTGTTTTAAAAATGTATATAAATTAGCACTCTCTATTAAGTTATATTGGGCTATTTAGAAAGAATAGGAATCTGAACTTAGTCAGAGATACCGATATTAAAAGTGGTTAGGAACTGCTATCCTATTTATTCATCTGAAAACTAGATATAAAGTATTGTTATGCTGCATGTTTATCTTACCTGAAAGTGAAATATTCCAGCATAACCTGGTCCAAAATTTTGATCTTGAGGTACAACTCTGGCTAATGTGTTTTCATTCAATGTAAGGGAAGCTATAGCTGCTAACAGCCAGCAGTCACCTGCAAAATGGAAAGACCAATACACAGATCACCAGTAATATATTGTGAAAATAAACACAATCTACAGGAAACAGATACTGAAGCCGCCTTGTCTCTAACTCTGTGGGCAAGATTCTGACTTCAGTTACATCGGTATAAAGGTCAATGGAGTTATTCTGGATTTATGCCACTAACTAAAATCACAATCCTGACCCACATGTATTACAGGTTCCGCATTTAATTATGTATCTAGAGTTCCATTTGGTGGAGTAAACTCACATTGATTTCATTTGTACTTTTTTGTTTATTTCCCATGCAATGTGAGATGCTGCCCAAACCAACCATAATTACCCATAACTGATGATGAACTGAACTACTATCAGCTGTTTTCCTCCATGCAGTGAGCTACATTCTGTTCTAATTTACTGTATAAATGTAAATCCAGATGAATTCCACTGAAGTCTGCCATGTTACTTAGATTTACACTGATGTAACTGTAAAAGACGACTTTAGCTCATTATCAGGCCTGCCGATAAGGGGAGGGGGACCAAAAAGGGGGCCAATACCCGGGGACCCAGCAATTCAACTGCTGCTGCTGCTACTGTGGCAGTGGCCAGAGCTTTGGGCCCTTTAAATGGATGCCACAAAGCCATGTGACAGGCTCTGGGAGGAGCTGAGGGATGGCCTCCCACAATTCCACTCCTTCCACCTGAGGCCCAGCCCCTACTGAGGCCCAGCCCTACTGGGCCTCCCCTGCTCTTTATAATGAAAGTTTACAAAGTCTTGGAATTACTTTTTTGCCACTGGGAAAATAAATAAGATGGGGCTTCATTTGCTGACTCTGTGTGTGATATTTCACATGACTTCCTATGATAAGCAAGCAGTAGGATGGCTGACTGTCCATCACCCAAGGACACTTAATATCCTGTTTAACTTAAAACTTCAGGAGAAGACTGGCTGGCTAGCTGGCACCAACCAGACAAGATGTATTCTGGAACCACTCAATTCTCAGCTTTCTTGGAAGTCTTGAAACATCTGAGCCAAGATGGTATCTCACTGAAAACAAGGGCAAAGCTTCCATTGTCCTGAACAGGACCAGTTTTTAGCCTTTTCTGTGTTTTTCTTCCTCACTTGAAGGCAAGACGTTGGCTTTGTGTTAGTGACTCACATAAAGAAACCACTCAAGAATGGACGAGAGGAACAAAAATGAGCCATAGATGTTTTCCAAGCTGGCAGGCCTGCTGCAAGCTCTGTGTTGCTTGCACTGAGTGAAGGGAGCACCGAGTGTCTCATAGGAGGCAGCAACAGCACAATCGCCTGAAAAATCCCTAAAAGCCATTTTGGAAGAGTATGATAGGAAGACATTCAACTTGCAATGTGCACCTTAGAAATGTCCTATGGAATTCAGGTGAGATTAAATGAATAAGTTTCAATGGAAATGTAATAGGATTGCATCAAAGTTACTCTAAAAATCTATTAAATTCAATAGAAAATTATAAACTTTCTTTCAAGAGACAAGGTGGGTGAAGTAAAATCTTTGATTTATTCACCCACCTTCTCTCTCTCTCTAATATCCTGGGACAAAAACAGTAAAATCTTTGTGTGTTTTGGTCAAACCGATAGTGTTGGATAGCAAGAACATAATTCTATTGATTCTGTGGCTGTGGTGTAGTGCAATTCAATCCAAAGCACTCACTGTTTAGAGTGGGGTGACTGAGAAGCTGCAATAAATGTACAAGTTAGTCTTAGAATATCATGTGCCTGTACTAAATACCTTCATCTTTTTAAAATGAATGTTTATATTCCCATTTGCTCTTTCTCTCATGGAAACCACTTTCCAGACTTTATCTTGCAGGACCAAATAGCTATGTCATGGCATTATTACCCATGTTGCATCAGTGCACAATATGGCATCATCATGCAAAACACAACATTGGCATCAACCTGTATGGTTGAATTGGCATGATGGAACACAGTGTCAATGCATGCCTGAGCAGTGCCCTGCCATGTGGATAGCTACATTCTGGCTTTAAGACTTCCCAAAAAGTATTTGAGACTCTAAGCTGCTGTAGATGCTGTCATGTGCTTCCAGGACATAGGTCTGGGATACTTCTGTGATTTCATGCTGGATGGCAAACCGTCAGCATAGACTTCTCCCTTGCCTTTCACAGCTCTGTCTCTTTAATTAAGAGGGAAGAAAGAGAGTGTTTGCCTTCACAGCAGCCAATACTTTATGAAGGCATCCAGAAATGGATAAGACGTTCAAAGGAGAACACAGGTTACATCTGAGTTTCACTTCTTCCATCCATTTAAGGAACAAGTGACTGGAGAGGCAGTTTTGCCTACTGGATAGTGCCCTGGCCAGGGATGCAGAGGACTATGGGTTCTAGACACAGCTCTACTGCTAGTTGACCTTGGATAAATCATGTCCCCGCTCCATGCCTCAGTTTCCCCACCTGCAGATTGGGGGAGGGAGGTATTGATGTCATACACCTTTGAAAAGAGATGAGAAGTGCTCGTAAAAGCTAGGAATTGCTATTCTACAATGAACATCCCCCCGCCTTACTCCCACCAGTTCTAGAATCTCCTGTACCCCAGCAGTTAGATAAGGGTGGGAAAATTCTATAAAGGGAAAACACTCACCAAGATCCCCTTGACAAATGTCAGTTCTTGTGGCTCCTCCAACTACAAACTCTGGGTCTTTAACAATTTCCTGAGAGAGACAGAGAGAAAAAATAATTTAAAATAACCTGGAAAAATATAGCAACATTTAGGGGATGGCCCTGTCACTGATATGCTCCATTCATAACGGTATGCTTCTACCACACAATAGTACAGATACTGTGTTATCCTATGTTGAGCCTTTCATTGCTAATTAGAAAGTGTCACAGCGAAAGGTCATTGGTGCTAATTTCTTCGTGCTGATGAAAGATACTGGATTGGCAACTCTGGCACTGTGCAGACCTCTGTTTACTTGCAGAACATTTATAGCAAAGGCAGTGGTTAGCAACCATGATAACATCTTCCCTTAAAAAAAATAAAAGGTTGATCCCAACCTTTGTTTGCTTTACCAAGTAATGTTAGTTTTAAGTGAGAGCTGGATCAAGTAATGACACTCACACCCTTGAATGTCCAAAGGTTGAGAGGGGCTGAACCTATAAGACATATGTAGGAAGGAAAGCAATTCTGACCAGCCATTCTTTTATTTCTTTATTTTGTATTCAATTAAAAATATCTCAGAGGTTCTGAATTAGATAGCCGATTATGCTTGTAAAATCCCTTGAAATCTAACTTAAGTTGTCACTTAAAAAAAAGCATTCACTGCTTTTCTGCTGGGTCTCTATGGCATTTGTGTCTCATTGACTGGAGCATTAGGGTATGAGAGATAACTATTGATCTTTGTCCTTGAAGTACCCCTTTTGTCTAAATACTTTAGGTATTTAGATGTCCCCCCTTTACTGTACCTGAAGAAGTGGGTTGTGCCCAAGAAAGCTCATGATACCGTCTGTATTTTTTTTGTTAGTCTTTAAGGTGCTCCAGAACCCCTCGGTTTTTGTTTTTAAAATACAGACTAACACAGCTATCCCTCTGAATCTTTGATGTAGATATCTTTGCCATACCTCTGTGAGTACTCTAGGGAGTACTGGTATCCCTGTTTTAGAGATGTGAAACAGAGGCACAGAGAGTTCACCCATCATCACAGAGGAAATCTGTGGTGCATTCAACATCTTTCAGGAATCCAGGGCTGGCCTTACCATGAGGTGAACTGAGGCAGCCGTCTCAGGTGCCAGACTGTGTGTGTGTGTGGAGGGGGGGGGGGGGCGGGGGTGCAGTGTAGAAAATTGTGTCTGCTGCTGTTGCATATGTATTCTCTCTGCTCTAGATGCACAGAGATGGTGGAATGCTAAATGCTGTGCTGGAGGAAGGAGGGGACAAGAGACATAACAGGCAGGCAGGAGAAAAGGTGGCAAGGGGGCGTCATTTGAGCTCCCCGCCTCAGGTGCCAAAATGTTGTGGGCCGGCCCTGCAGGAATCAGTCCATAGGGAGCATAATACTGCATCTTTGTAATGAAAAGACTCAATTCTGTTCCTACTGAAGTAAATACGAGCATGCCAGAAGAGCATAGCCTTACATAGGAGAAGAAGAAAGACATTAACATCTGCACAGCTAGTGAAAATGAGAAATGTCCATTGCCGATGTAAGGCATTATCTAGAGCTGAAAACATATTACATCGGCATAATTTCGCACCCCTGGCTTCAAAGGAAGTGGCAGAAGGAAGGTGACCTGCCCACATTCCTTCAAGTCAAATACCTTCCCAGCAAGAAGCAGTGGTGAAATCGATGTGTCACCATTACAGAAAACAAAGGCAAGTCAAAGCAGAATTTGTCATGTATCTGACCCACCTGCTTGTTAAATATATGCTGGAGTGTGTGACCTGTACTAAATGATAAAAAAGCCATTCACAGTCCTTATACCATTGCAGAATAGGAAAAAGTGAGGGGATGTTAATTTTAATAATATGCATTATTTTAAAATTGCTAAAGGGAACATAAGTACGTAGCGATTAAGAAACTCGCATTTTCAGAGAGCTGATTAACTCAATCTGTCCCCAAATGCCCTATAGTTTTGTGGTTACCCCCCCATAACCTTTACTCCCTATGTACTGAGCACACAGAGCCCCCACCATGCTCTTTCTGTGCACTTCTGAGGGTAGAACAACTTCCCAACACCACCTAGCTCTGAATGATTGCACCAGTATTGTGGTATCGCAACTCGATTTTACAAATGATATTTCATATCTTACTTGCATACAACACCCTTCCTCCCAACTAAACAGTTTGTGGTAGTAATGAGATAAGAGCCTCTCAAATCCAGGCCATTAGAGGGACTCTGGATTAGATTAACAGTAACCAAATCTTATTAATGTCCAATGATTGATTGGTAGCTGCTGTAAACTAGTGATCACTGTGCAGCTCCTAGAAAACTGTCTCTGCCTCATAATGAGCACCCTTGCAGCCATTCGCATTAGAGATGTAGGCCTCAATTCTCCTGTTGCTTACAGCAGTGTACATCGGAGGTAATGTCCTTGACTGTTGCTTACATGAGTGTATCGCAGAGAAGAATCAGGAATGAATGGACATGAAAGCTGAACCATAGGTGGCCCTCATCGGCTTTAACAGAAGATTTCAGTTTCTAGAGTTTCTCGAGCTACCGAGCCTACACCTTTGAGGAGCACAATATTTTAAATGCACTTCTCCTCGTGATTTTGCATAGCACTCTCCAAACTCTGGGAGTGTGATTTTGCAGCTGCTCTTGTTCTGTGGTCTCTTCCAACCCTATGATTCTATGATATACAGCCCTACCATATTTTATGATTATAATTCTGAGAGGATTGTATTACACAGCAGCCTGGAGTCACCTTGAAAGGCGGCCCTACCCCCTGCCAGTTGAAGCCAGCACGAATGCTGGTGCAAGGGCAAGGCGAGATGCAAAGTCCGGTGGTTCAAAGTAGTGGCAGCTTCATTCACAAAGGGGAGATGGGGGGCCAGAAGGAGCCCAGCTCAGCCCCCCAAAGTGGGTGGTATTGGCTGAAAAATGGACAATGACCAGGGCAGGCAGATGTAGTGACTCCCAGCGAGTCCCTCAGCAGAGTTCACACAAAGCCCCCTCTCTTCTGTATTGGGAAGTTCCACTGTAGGGTGCAGTAGTACTTAGCGATATAGAGAGGAGAAAGTCACAGCTCTTTATGGCATGCTTGCTGAATTTGGCTATTAACCTAACAGCATATTCAATAATTGCAGAACAAACGTCTGTTTTCAAACCTAACATGGAACTGCACATGGACCATAAAAAGAAAGCCAGAGAGAGATTTCCCCCAAAGAAGCGGTTTATGCTGGAAGCAAGGGTTAAATTAGATTCCTGAGTGGGAAAGCCAGAGTTTGAACTGGTATGTGGCCGTTCTTCTCGAAACGCAGTAGTGGCTGGGGGAGACAGGACATTGACTCGCCTTCTCATGTTGACTGGGCTTAGATCTAAGGGAACATTTAAACTCTCAGTGCAGAGCTTGCGGCTGTGTGGGGAGTGTCTTGGGGGGGTCTGCAGATCATCATGAACCTCATCCAGGGTCCTCTGAAGCTCATCGACTTCAGTGGGCTTTGGCTCAAATCCATAAAGCACTGTAATTAGGTAGGTTCTAGGTTGGCTGTGGCTAATTGAAAATATCCAGTATTTGAACCTTGTTTGGGTCAAAGTATTATTCTGCTGGGAGTCTTCCCTTATTGGTCCGTGCCCTCCACAATGTACCTCAGATGTGCCTTTTTAAAAGCCACATTGTGTCTTGTAGTACATATTGCCCTGGGGAAATCCCAACCTTTACTCTGTGGTCTGTTTTTTTTTGGCGCCAACAAAGCAGGGACCACTTCTAAAGAATATAGAATACCAAGTACCTGCTGGAATAAGGCATGGTGGGACAGTATGGGCAAGTTTAACTCTTGTGTACCTTCATTGACCTGAGTGGAACCACTATAGGTTGAACCTCTCTAGTCCAGCACTCTCTGGTCCTGCAACATCTGTGATCTGGCATGATTTTAGTTAGTTAGATGTCCACTTATTATGGGTGTGGCCAAGTTTCCCGTGGTCCCATGAAGTTTGTTTTCAGCCACCAGTCCTGGCTGTCAGTGTTCTGTGATGTCATTTAGCTCTAATTTACCCCTAAATGTCTTCTAGGAGCCCAGTAAGCAGTGGAAATGTTGATAGTGCTGCTAGACCATATTGACCTCCCGTGATTCAGTAAATTCTCTGGTACAGCACTGGTCAGGTTCCTAGGGTGCCAGATTAGAGAGGTTCGACCCGTAGTGATTCACACTTGATCAACAAGGAGACTCAGATCCTATAAATTCTCCATAGGTTACTAGCCAAACTGGATACATTCAATAAAGTTGCAAATAGTTACTGTATTAATTAAAGGCAAAAAGAAATCTAGAGTTATCGTCAACTGAGGCTTGAGGTTTACGAAGAACCCCAAAGAATCCATCCAGTAAACTGCTTTAAAGTACTGAACTTTAATTGAATCATTTTAATGCTGTTTAAAATCACACTTTCAAGTTTCTTACTAATGAAATGCAGATACAGGTGCATGACAATGCCTTATGGTGTGATATGATTTCAGTTCAACATCCGATTATTAACACCCGTCCAAACTCTGAAAATTACATTGTATAACATTAAAAGCAGCAAATAGGCCTGTGGCACCTTAGAGTCTAACAAATATATATATATAGCATCATGAGTTTTAGTGGGCAAAATCCACTTCCTCAGATGAGATAATCTTGAGTGGAGAAATAAAAGGGGGGACCCTCAGAATAAGAAGGGAGAGGGAGAAAAAAAAGTACCTGTCAATTGTAGTTTTGGTGTTAATGAGGCTAATCGAGTGGGCTGGAAGTGTCCCATACTTAGCTTTTGAAGTCAACAGGGTGTTGAATGTATGGAAAGCTGGTTTTATAATATGTTAACCTGTTCAAGTCTTTCTTTAAACCAAGGGAGACAGTCAAATTTGCATATGAAGCTCAATTCTGCACTCTCGCTGTAGTTGGCTTATGAAATTCCTTTGTAGAAGAATGACAACTTTTAAATCCATTAATGAGTGCCCAGGCAAGTTAAAATGTTCCCCTACAGGTTTCTGTGTGTTATCATATCTAATATCTGTTTTGTGTCCATTAATCCTTTGTAGTAGTGACTGTCCAGTTTGGCCTATTTAAATAACTGTGGCACTCTGAACTACTAAACAACTGAATCTATTACAGACTATTTGATATTTATAATGGGTGAGTCACTAATATAATCTAAATATTATATGAGGATGTATAAAGAAAAGAGAGGTGTATCATGCCAAGAGGAAAACTGCATGGAAAAGGGTCAGGTGTTCTCAAACAATTAATGAAAAAATGGCTGTTGGAAGACATAGTTAAGTTTTTCTTTTCAAATAAGAAAGAGAAAGCAGGCTAATGTTGCTAAATTGCTTTTCTTACTAATGGCATATGAGATTTGGCATCTAGAGACAGACCCTCAGCTTTTGTAAAGCAGCAGTGCTCCATTGACTTCAGTGTGGTTATGCAAATATACACCAGCTGGCCTATATTGTGAGCGCACACGTGCGCGCGTGTGTACACACACACACACACACACTTTTGAGAAATTAGGAAGTCTTTCTTCTACTGAATAAAGAAGATAAAGCTATTGTGCGGTGCAAATCTGAGAGCTGATATTATCTGGCAATGCAGTTATCCCATTTGTTCTAATATTCTTTACACAAACGACTAATGAGAGGGTTTATTATCTGACTTAAAACAATGATATTTGAATTTTACTTAAATCCCACAGATCATTATTTCTTCAAGTTTTAAAAATTCCAGGTCAGTTTCAGAGATGAGGTGAGAGGCAGTGTTAGTCAGTCTCCCTTACACAAACATAGACATGGTGGGTTCGGTACTATGTCTACCTTGTCTCTCTAGTATCCTGGGATTGACATGGCTTCAACTACATTGCTTACACAGAGTCCCTACCACTTAGCCTCCATTACCCCAACTTACAGATATGAAAGGAGACTAAACTGGCTTGATTTACATGCTGAGGAGCCAGAAGAAGGTGAAACTTAAAGTAGGGTGTGGGCAGCTATTACTTACACCCTGCCCTGAGCTGCCTTTCTTACTACACTCCTCACACACACACACACTTTCACATGGCAGAAATCACAGCCTAAAGGTACATCCCATGTCAAGTCACTGATTTGTCCTGAAATACTGTATTCTGAAATACTTCCAAGTTCAGCTTGCAAAAACTAGTGGTGGCTGGATTTGGGGGAGACACTGAAGACAGACCACTCTCCATTGCAACAAACAAGAACCTGGAACAGTTTTGATACTAACAGGGTCTGGTAGAAAAAAAACCCAATTTTTTACTATTTGATAGCTTCTGTGTGTTTAAGAAGGAAAGGCAAACAGGGCTTTTGCTGACCTAGATTCACAAATCTTTGCATTTGGCACCAGGTACACACAGCCACATCCTCTTACTATGGTCACACATTCAAAGTCATCGCTTACCTTCCGAGTATGCTTCACAACTGGATGGAGTCAATAGACTTTGTGCCCTCTCACACCTAACACCTACAGGGAGCCACTATGTCCCTAGAACAGGAGTAGAGACAGCACCTGGATGACCTCAATCCCATGCAGGGTAGGCAACCCAGGGAATAGGACCTGATGTGAGAAGTGTCTGGCAATGCCATACTGATGGCTGAATTGTTCACTTAAAGCAGGGATTCAGCCTCTTTATTATGTATGAAAACTAGAGTACACCCTTCCCATAATTACAACACACATAGTTTGTATACAAAATGAATACTCTATGTATTTATCAGTAAATCTGTTAATTAGTTAAGAATTCTAATGAACTAACAATGGGTCCTTTGAGAATTATAGTCCCTCCTATCAGACCCTTGTTTTGCCCTTATTATCTCAGTAAGGGTATGTCTAGACTGCAAGGATCTATTGGCAAAAGATATGCAAAATGTGCTTTGCATGTTGCACATCTTTTTCCAATATTTTTGTCGGAAGAGGTTTTTCCAAAATTTGGCTTGTCTAGACTTGGTAAAATTTCGGAAAAAAACCCTCTTTCAAAAGCCCCCTTTTCCCTTGATTACTGAAGGTATCCCGAACACCCCCCCCCCCTGTGCCTACTCTTCAAATGTCTCATATAATTAAAACTCACTGAAATCTTGTGCATAGGCTACATTTGAATTTTTTTTCAGATCCTATTGTTTAATGGTCAATTCCCTTCATTTTTCTTCCTAGCTAAAAGGGAGACACTGCACTGCAGTGACTCCATGCAATACCTGTATGATTAGGATCATGGCATTCTAGTATTTTTGGGTGCCTACTCTTCAAATGTCTCATATAATTAAAACTCACTGAAATCTTGTGCATAGGCTACATTTGAATTTTTTTTCAGATCCTATTGTTTAATGGTCAATTCCCTTCATTTTTCTTCCTAGCTAAAAGGGAGACACTGCACTGCAGTGACTCCATGCAATACCTGTATGATTAGGATCATGGCATTCTAGTATTTTTGGTTGCAGATTAAATTAAACCAGTTTTTAAAGATAATTTTTTTTCTCATTCTTTTCTCCCTTCAAGGTGTCACTACTGGGCTGAGGTAGGGATCCTGTTGGCTAAATACAAAATTATAAAATTAATAATCACATTTTTGGCAGGGTCAAGGTGATGGGACAAGGTTACAGGAGTTAGGATTTTTTATGGAATTCTTAAATATTATTATTTTAATGTTTCAAACCCATCAGTGGGTGCACATTGTTAATCGATGGTATGGTTTGATTACTGTTGCCATCTTTCTTTTTCTGCCCCTCCCAATTGTTTGCTAAACACTTAGGGTATGTCTATACTAGTTCGTTAATTCGAGCTAGGTAGGCAAATCAGGGAACCGGAGTTGCAAATGAAGCCTGGGATTTAAATATCCCAGGCTTTATTTGCATGTTCCCATCCGGCTGCCATTTTTAAATCCCCCTTAGTCCGAACGAACTGCCCGAGGCTACACGCGGCAGCTTAAAGTTAATCCAAACTAAGTCCTTAGTTCGGATTAACTGTTACTCGAATTAACGAGCTACTGTAGACATACCCTTATACAGCTTGTCTTACATTAGGCCCTGATTCTTCAAAGACTTCAAGCATGTGAATAGTGCCACTAAAGTCAACAACGCTGAATCTGCTATGGGTTTGACCTTCTGCAGCCCTTCCTGGGGGTGGACAACATGTCCCTTACAAATTAACTAAACCTCATGGACTGAGTTCTCTCTGGATTACAGAGGCACAAACCAGGAATAATTCTTTTGAGTAAAATGGAGTTAAATTGCTGTAAAAACCTGTCAGTGGAGAGTCAGACCAAAAGTAAGACAGGCATATAACATGCACATGCACATTGCATATAGATAGAGCTACTGAAGATTTAATCCGCCCATCTGCACACACACACACTGCCCATCTGCGCGCGCGCACACACACACACACACACACACACACACACACACACCCCCACACCCCAAGAGTCTCAGTCTCTCTCTCTCTTTCCACTGGAGCAGATCCTGATTCATACTGTAAGCTTTCTGGTGGGAGAGACTATGGGTGAAATCCTGGCCACAGGCAAAACTCCCATTGACTTTGAGAGAGCCAGGATTTGACCTCAACATGTCTCTGATTTGTCTATAAAGCTCCATAGACACACAGGGCTCTCTGGCCCTAGTGCGCTTTGTTTGGTTTTGTTTGATTGTTCTTTAAGAGGTCCAGCGTCAGGGTGACCATCCATCCCGTTTTTACTGGGACAGTCCCGCATTTAAGGGCTGTTCCCAGCATCCCAACTTTTTTTAAAAAACGGGCACATTGTTCCATATTTCTCCTGCAGCAGAGGGCAGGGAGAAGCCACCAACACTCAGGGCTTCAGCCACTGAAGCCCCAGCGCTGGCGGCTTCTCCCCCCAACCAGTCTGGGGTTGGAGCCCCAAGTGCCTCCAAGTGCCCCCAGCTCATCCCCGAGTGTCCCCAGCTCCTTCCCCCCACACCCGTGAGGCAGGAGCTCTGAGCATCTGAGCTCTGAGCCTTCTCCCCCCACCTCTACTGTAGGCCTGGAGCTCTGAGCACCAGTTGTTCCTTCTCCCTACCCACATGGGCCTGGAGCCCTGAGTGCTTCCCCCCACCGCTGCAGAGCTGAAACCTGAAAAGCCATCCCCTTTCCCCCACCACTGCAGGGCTGGAGCCCCAAGCACTGCCCCTCCCCCTCCCCCGTTCAGGGCTGAAGCCCCAAGCATTGCCCCTCCTACTCCCCCCTGAAGGGCTAAAGCCCCAAGCGCTTGGTGTCCCGTATTTGGCATGGAGAAATATGGTCACCCTATCTGGTGGCATCTCACTCTTGGCAGGAGTGGTGGAGGAATACATATAGCAAGAGCGGGAACAAGTTCTAACTACTGTCATACTCACCCCAGGCCTTTTCCATACAAAGGGGATGGATGGCTTCTCACTGTAGAAGAGAGAGGAGCAATTGGCTGGGAAGTCACAATCCTCAAATAGGGTCCCCCTTTGTTGGCACTGGCGCTTCAGCTCCTCATACGTCTGGCCAGAGGAGTGTGTGGCCTGAGCGCTCTGAGGTAGAGGGGGAGATCGTGGTCTCGAGTCCCGGTATGTGTACGGCATTGTTCAGTGCAGCAGCAAAGGCTCCAGTGAAGCACAGACAGAGATTAACAGGGGGAGGGTCCAGGAAAAGGAGCAGAGGAAAACTCCAGCACCCACCAAACAAACAGAAGAGAGGAGGAACAAGGTGCTCACTGAGAAAAAAGAATGAAAGGCGTCTGTGCTGCAGGGAAGTAAAAAATGTGCCCAAGCACCTCCTCTTTTGCACCTGTTTGGATGACAAGGAGACTTCCCTGTCCACCTGAAATAACAATAGCAAGGAACGCCCCGAGAGCAAACAAAAAAGCAAACTTGTTTGCCCTTTTTAGGAGTTCCAGCTGCTCGGTGTGTGCCCTCTGGTATGTTACCACGAAAAGGAATTCAGAGATAACTTTATTTTGTTCATGTGATGTGATCCTGCTGCACCCAGGAAGAGAGACAGCAAGTATGTGAACACCCTCAAACAAACTCTTTTATGCTCACATGATATGGCCAGGGTGTGGAGCTATTTTCTTTGCTGGCTGAATAACTCTGAGAAATGCCACAATGCATGAAAATCTCTCACAGCTCCTGGTAGAAAGTTACCTAATTAAGTGCTCTCATCATTTAGGTTCCTTTCACCACTCCCTATCCCTGGCCAAAGGACACCTGAGAGAATCTCTGCAAGGAGGCCCCCAAAATCCTAGTCCTCCTTCATATAACAGCAGAACCAGGAGGAACCCCAGAGTCTTGTCACAGACTAAGTGACATACGGGTATCTCCTTCCCAATCTGTAGTCCATGTGACAGACAAGGATGGAAACTGCCGATAGGCCCTGGAACAGCAATGGGCGACATGGACTAGTGAGTGAGCCATACAAGCGGTACTCCTTCATTGCAGTGGGCCCCAAGATTGTCGTAACCAAGAAGGTTTTGTAGGATAGGGTAGTTTTGCTAACTGCGCTTGGGTACCAAGAATTTGCAGGCTGTGACGGTTGAACTGTAACAGCATTTTGACTGGACACAGAGGGACCGCACAGCTCTCACGGTCAGTGTTGTGTGCAGTCAGCATGCACCCCACTTTGTGTGCCCTGGCTTTATGTACATGGCACTTAAGTAATACCGGTAAGAAACAAACTATGCAGCCGGAAACCAGAGGAATCTGGCAAGCTCTGTGTGTGGGCAACAGTAAAACAAAATGTCTTGCAGGTCACACAGACCCCCGATTGGCTACCTGCACATCACTGCCCTGGAATCTTCAGCACTGAGTCTGATATCAAAATAAAGGAAAATTGTATTGAAATTGGGAAGGATCGAGGGTGTTGTGTGGAATGAAGACACGGCATGGCTGGGTGGTGCAGGAAAGTATGTGTGTGGGGTCTGAATGATGAAGGAAGATGGGAACTGGACAGAAAGGGCAAATGTCAGGTAGGCATTTTGCCATGAAAGGGATTTTAGTGGTTTGTGGGGAAGAGAGATTTGTATATATTGTAGATCATGTTTCGGAGGAAGATGTGTATATAATAGCTACCTAACTGTGAAAACCTATTTTTGTGACCCATGTCTAACCATCCTTCTATCACATTTTTTCTACCATTAGACTGTAAAATCTTTATGCTAGAGTGTGTGTCAGTCTGATCTGATCTGTTAAGTGCCCAGCACGTAGCGAGTGCTGTGGAGAAATTTTAAATAAATAATATTATTTAAAAGCTACAGTTGGAATGGACATTCTTGCATGCCTACAAAGGTTGAAGATGCAGATTACCTGTCAAAAACTGTAGTTAATGGATTACAAAACACTGCCTTACCATACAAACACTATTAGCGTTTCTTCTGTTTTAATTGGTGCTTTGACAGCTCAGTCAATCTTGCTGCTGAGATATGATTTGTGGAAATCAATTAGATGAATCAGAATAAATTCTTTTCTATTCTTTTCCATAACAATGTGGAAAGGAAACCCTTCACTTTCAGAATGCGTATTTCCTTATTTACCTCACAGAACTGTATTATTGTTACAAGTGCCTAGATATCCCCACTTAGATCAGGGCTCCACTGTGCTCTGCCCAAATACACTGTAAGACAGGGATAATGAACCTTTTTTTGGGTCAGGGGCCACCGATCCACAGAAAAATCAGCCGAGGGCTGCACACAAGAGAGAAGCAAAAAACCAAACCAAAACAACAACAAAACCCCAAAACCAAACCAAACCAAGACAACAAAAAACCAGCCAAACAAACAAACAAACAAATGTGGCCCCTAACTGAGAAAGAAAAAAAAAGACATTCCCCTTGCACACCAGAGCTTAGGGGAGCCTAGGCTTGTAGATTTTGTGTGCTCTAGTCCTTCAACGGATGGAGGGGGAGGGGCTGGAGCACCAGCACGGACTCCCTAATGCTGGAGAGGAGTTCCAAGCCTCGGGGGCTGAATCCAGGCAAGCCAGGGGCAACATCCAGCCCCTGCTCCTTAGATTCTCCACCCCTGCTGTAAGAGATAACTCTTGTTCTAACCAGGCAGGACAGACACAGAGTGTAGAGGGAAACAGAGGCACAGAGAAGGGAAGTGAATTGCCCAAGCTTGCCCACCAGGTTAGTGGAAGAACCACGAACCCTGTTCACTTGACCCTTAGCCCCTCCACTCCATTCCAAAGCCCTGTCCATTAAACCACATGGCATTGCATTGGCTAAGTTCTTTCCTCATACACTTGATTGTAACTCTGACTGAAGCAAATGGGAGCTGCACATGCATATCTTAGGGCAGAATTTAGTCCTTGATTTTTTCCTGTGTGTGTACCCTGTCTTATCACTTATCTTAAATGGCTATGTAGCTCTGTTAGGGTACGTCTACACTGCGGACTGAAGTCGAATTAAGCTACGCAATTCAGCTATTTAAATTTGTAGCTGATGTCCAAATACCTTAATTTAGCTTTCGGAGCGGTCTACACTGCAAGAAGTCAAAGGAAGAACACTCTTCCTTTGACTTCCCTTCCTCCTCATGAAATGAGGGTTACAGAAGTTGGAGTAAGAAGTCCGTTATTTTGAAATTATTTCAAAATAATGGGCTTGCTGTGTAGATGCGCACTTTGTTATTTCAAATTAATGTGAGTTATTTCAAAATAACGCTGCTGTGTCGACATGTCTGTAGTGATTAACCATGGTGCCACTTTCTGTCTCAGAGGAAAATACAGTATAGCTTACATTGACCACAAGATGTTGCTAAATACATTGCAATTAGTCAGTGGATTTTACACAGCATTATAAGTTAGTTGGACAGATAGAGAGTTCCTGCTCTTATCACAAGTGGTACTACCAGCCTGATACCTCTCATTCTAGTACCCCATTTTCAGTTTAAAAATTTGGTAAGCTTCAACTATTTGAGATAAAATGTCTTTTGCTCAGTATTGACCTGCAGATGAATTGATCTGGAACATGTTAGCGAAAACAGTTCAGCAGTTTCTAAGAATGAGGTTAGAGACAAATCTATTGTTTTGCCCACGTTAAACAAATTCCAGGGACTTTTTCATTAAGATGCTTTAGCACCCCGATGCTTTGAAGCAGAGGTCTTGGGACTTGGCAGAAACGTGGTCTCTGCATTAAGGAGGTGCTATTTGCCATCCCTTTGAAAAATCCATCCCAATTTAGGCAAGTTATAAGCTGTTGCAAAACTGCAGTTTGCACACACCTAAGGACGTTGTAGGTTTTAATGGCTAAATTACCCAAAGATTCATGTACACTACTGGACAGGTCCAGCCCTGTGCAGAGCAAGACTTTCTGTGCAACATCAGTTCTGGGCTGCTGTGGGAGGTGCTGGGTCCAGGTTTTGGCTCCTCCTTTGCTCTTTCTGATACCTCTTTCTGCTGGGCCACGGCAGCTCAGAGAAGGACGTTTCCTGATTTGAGTGCAGAGGGAACAAGAGCCATATCTAGAGAGGCATGGAGATGAGGGGAGTGGATTGGGACAAGGATCTGGGGGAGGAGAGGAGGGAGAAACTGGGCATGGAGGCTGGCAGGGGGCTAGGTAGGAAAGAGAGACAGGTACTGGCAGCCAGGAGGAGAGACAGTGACTACTTGGGAGTGAGAGAGGAGATATGGCCAGAGACAGAGTAAGAGATGGGAGTGTGCTAGACAGAGACTGGCTGGACAAGAAGCCTCAGACTGGGAGCCTAGGAGGGAAATGAGAGGAAGAATAGGAGCCTGTAGGTGAGGGACGGGGGACGACTGAAATTGGAGGAGGAACTGGGATGGGCTAGGTAAAGAGACAGGGAATGAAAATCAGTGGGATGGGGGTAAGGAGATAAGTGGAGAATGAAAGCAGATCTGACCAGGAACCAGGATGAACTGATACCCTTCTGCTAGGCCAAGGCGGTAGAACTGGGAGTGGCTGAACAAGATGATTAGGGAGTAAGGTGAGATTGGGACTTGCTGGGCAAGGAGATGGGGGAGAAGAGGTAGGGAACACACAGGACTGGTACAGCCACAGGTTAGAACGGACAGAGTAAAAGGGAGGGACTGGAGAGAAGAGTACATGCCACTAAATCACATTCACCTCCAGAGCCTGGAATGGAACCCCAGAGTTTCAACTTCCCTTTGCTGTCAGTAGATCTCTGTGAAACACACTGGCACTGTGTGCGTCTCCTCTTTCACTAGTTCCATTCCACAGAGAGGGTGACAACCTACTACTGCTATTGATTACTCGGTTAGTTTAAGTGGCAAAGGTCTATGCATTGGCTGTAAAGGTTCTAAACCTGCTGATGACCCAAGTGAGTGTCAATATGATGCCACATGATGGATTTTTTGTTCCTCTCAGTTTGGTTTTTGCATACGTTGTGGCACACATTGGATACTATTTTATTGTCGGGGCAGAATGGAGAGGGGCAGGAGGGGGTACATGAACCCTCAACATTATAGGTAGGAGGGGCCAGAGTTCCTGGGTGTCCATGAGGACTATGGGAGCGGGAGCCTGGTACCATAAGCAGGGGTCAGCCCCTGTACTCACCAGCAGCGGTGGTGGAAGTGTAGCAACGCAGCTTCTGCTCGCTCTGCTCCCCCAGCTGCCACGTCACTCCACAGGCTGGGGAGGGAGGTGTCACATGGCTGGTGTCCCCTTCCCAGTTCCTCTCCCCAGTCACCCCTGTGTAGTATAAATATTAAATGCAAACCATTAGATTGACAGACAGAAAGGAATGTCTAAGTAGTTTATTTACAAAAGCTTGATGGCCAGTGGTGGAACAGTGAACATTTCTATTTTCCTGGGCAACAGAATAGGTGTGAAGGATTTTTTTAAGAATCCCCTGAGCCTGCTGTCTGTTATTAACGAGATATTGGCAATGCTCTAGTCCACGAGTACTGACGTTACGTAACATTTTGTTA